GAAGCGCTGTGCAACTACTGATTAATCATATCATCTGTAATAGAAATCCACAGAATCCAACGGAAGTTGAAGGCGCTCTGGAGCATCTGAGTACCACTGAAGAGTTTTGCACTAGAGGGATGATCCCATTCTGGTTAAATTTGACAGACCCAACTATTGCTGGCTAGCAATTGCTCGCTAATGCACGCGTAAAACTACTATAGTTAATGTGTTACAGATGTTGGTGTATAGGATTCCTTAGGATGCATTATTTTACCGGGCAGGTGGTATTTAGAAGAAGGCCCCTGGGTAATCCAACTTGGATCTAATGAAAATCATGTTGAAATGGTCCGCTTAGTTGTCATTATGCTTCCAGTTTCAGGATCATGCAGATTAACTTATATACTTATATACTTATATACTTATACACACGTATGGGTATCAGGAAAATCAGCTCTCATGCATCTAATCGATTCCTATACACATTAGGATCGTCCATATCCTGTATATCTATCTCGGTACTGCTCTCAGTCTTTCTTCATTTTTCTTGGTTACAAATAAAGTGAATTACAGTAAAAGCTGAGATCCTCATAGTCAAAAGGATACTGTAAAAGTGGGAGTAGGGAAAATTCATGTATTACCGACCTTATCGGTTCTCAGTATAAAGAGCGAAATATTGTATTTTGATGGAAAAGCAGAGAGTCGGATGGTGTTCTAGAACTTGGCCGTTCGGGGGGTTGAAGGGAGGGAAATGAGGTATGAAGTAGAAAAGCATGAACTTTAGTGATTGATATTTGATAAGGATACGGGATGGGCTGGCAAAGGTTACAGTAAGAGAAACTGTAGGGGCAAGCGCCGAAAAGTATAAATCCAGATATTCAGCATAGGGAAGCAAATTCCTGACAATGTACTAGTGACTACAAGCTTCAAGCTGGAGAAGGATCATCGATCAGACAGATGGTCTTCAGGAAGGAGAAAAGCAGGAGACAAAGCCCCACACGTGGAGTGAGCGGAAGGTGTAGAATCGTTAAGGTGAGGTTGGCGGCAAACTGGTAGATAAAATCAGCTCTCTCGTGTGGTTGATATTCAAGATCACCAGAGTAATTACAGAGGGAGAAAGTTGGAAGGGCAGAAATTGTGCAAAACTGCTTTGGCTGGGGACTAAAATGCTTGGCTATTGGTGGTGAACGTGGCAGTGTTCCGGTTTACAACGAATAACGCGTTCTTTGGTTCTCCGTACGGTTGTCGAGCCCCTATTCCTGGCTAAAACGAATCGATAGTGTGTGTGTGTGTGTGTGTGTGTGTGTGTGTGTGTGTGTGTGTGTGTGTGTGTGT